TCCCAGAGGTCCTCAACCCTTCGTACACCGTGTTTCACCCAGCCTTTCCATGGTGAGTCTGACGCACACCGTACACACTGTTCAGAATCCGATATCAAGCGGTTTCCGAATAGGGGCTGCCTAAGCATTTCTTCCCACCTCTCTGGAACAGGCCGGTCGAGGGGGGGGGAGCTTCCTCCATGTACGTATGAGACGCACCCAGTATCTGTCGGTAGGGTTCCCATTGCTATATTTCCTGGGTAACCTCTAGTACCTGTCTTCCAGCCATACGCAGGGATCAATTTCAGGTGGAGATTCCGAGGCGAGGTCAGAGATCTGTGTCAGGGTAAGGGGGGACCCATGGGGAGGACGGTGAAAAGATGATAAGCTGAAGCCAGCGAATCGAGAGGGTCTGGAATTGTGTGGCCAGGTCCACAATTCCTAGACCGCCTTTATTCTTGGGTTGGATCACCGAGTCCCACGCTACTCAGCTGATGGCGTGGGTGATGTTGCTATCACCTCTCCACAGGAAGGCCGCCAGTTGTTGTTTCAGTGCCTAAAGTCCTCCATTACTCATCGGCCACAGAATGGCCTTATACCACATTGTGGTCAGGATCACATTATTGATGACAAGTGCCCGGCCAAAGATGGATGTGCTCTCATTGTTCTATTTTCCAAATTTGCTCTGTGCTGGTCCAGTCAGCCACTCGTCGTTCGATGCTGGCCTACCTTTACCAGTGATCAGTGCCCCTAGAATTCTCAGGGGGTCCTCAGGGGGGAGCCATGTGATCCGCGGGTTTTCTGGAGGTCTGCCCCCTTGGTGATGCATCCACCATCCCATAGTCTTTTGTCCCCAATTTACAGTCATGTCCGACAGGCGGCAGAATTTGTTCATAAGGTGCTGGATGTCTTCCATGTTAGCCTTGCTTCTACCATTATGGTAAGGTCATCAGCAAACAAGGAGCAGATAGGTACTGCCTCTTTCGAGATATTCGCTATCTTAATGCGTGTGAGGTCTTTGTTTTGTCGCAGATTAGCTGATAGAGCTTCCATAATTACCAAGAAGAGATAGGGGGCAATGGGGTCCCCCTGTCTCACTGACCGTTGGAGTTCAAATGGGGGTGTCACTGACCCATTGAGCTGAACACAGGTTGTGGCATTATTATGGAGGATTTTGACCCAGCGCCGGAAGGCGGGTCCGAAGTTCATTTTTTCCAAGCACATGTCTAGAAACTCCCAGTCCATGCAGTCATATGCTTTTTCGAAGTCTATAAATATAATGGCCGCATTTGCCTGTTTTCGGCACGCCAATTGGACCACGTCATTGACCAGCAGGATATTTTCTTGGATATTCCTGCCGGACATGAACCCCGTTTGGGCTGGGTGAATGACCTCCTCCAATACTGTCGCCATACGGTTGGCCAGTGCCTTGGAAATCATTTTATATACCACTGTGAGTAGCGTAATAGGTCTGTAATTTTTTATGTTCATTTTATCACCTTTTTTATAAAGGAGGGATAGCACTCCTTTTCCTACCGTATCCCCCATCCCCTCAGCCTCCCAAACTTTCTGGTAATACTCCCAGAGGTCGGTACTGAGATCCGTCCAAATGGTTTCCCAAAATTCTTTGGGGAAGCCGTCGATACCAGGGGTCTTTTCTTCCTTCATTTGGAGGAGCGTTGTCCATATTTCTTCTTTGGTCAGCTCTGTCTCTAGTTTGTCTCGCTGTTGAAGAGAGATACATCGGTCCATCGAGAGTAGGAAGTCTTGTATTTCCCGAATGCTTTCTTCCCCGCGCGGGGATATGATTTGGGAGGTGTATAGCTGTTTGAAGAACTTCCTGGTGATTAATGTGCAGTGGGCCGTGTCAGTGGCAATGATGGTGTTGTCATCAGGGTCTAAAAAAGCTTCGATGACTGTTCGCCGTGCTCGTGAGGTGGCCATGGAGAAAAAATGAGTGTCCATGGAGGGGTGAGTCTAGTCATTTTCCCTCTGATTCGGATTCCTTGCCATCTATGTTGTGCATACTGTAGGGGTCGGTCTTTGGTATTTTGGATAGAGTCTATGAGATGCAGTGATTCCTGTGCGGAGGTGAGGTGTTGTGACTCTCCCTGTTTTTCCAGGGTTATTAGTTCGTTGTGGGTGGTCATTTCAAGTTGCTGTCGCAGGGCCGCTTTAGCTTTGGAGAAGTCCTTGCATTTCTGGCCAGAAACACAAGGTCGTTGTTGAACCATCCGAGGTGGGACTCAAAGAGGCGTTGTTGCTGGCGCAAGAATTCTCATTCGCGTTTAATCATTTGTGAGAATGATAGGTCCTTAAGCAGGGAGGTGTTTAGTTTGTACAAACCTGGTTCTTGATCCGGCCTTTTTCTCATTGTTAGTATTATCCCGCAAGTTTTGTGGTCGAGGCCCGGGTGCGGGCTGTGTGGGAGGATCATTGCCCATCGCAGGGCTCCCTCCAAGTCCACTGCCCCTCACAACTTTTTTTTTTTTTTTGACCCCCATTTTTGGAGGTGCGCCGCATTTTATTTTTTTTTTACCCCCATTTTTTGACCCCCATTTTTTTTTTTGACCCCCTGGGAATGCCCACCCCAAAGCATCCCCAGTTCTCTCTACCAGGCCTCACGCTCCTGCAGTCAGCAGGTTACAGGGCGACACCCCAGCACCGGCCAGTGTCGTTCTGGCATCGAACAACCGCAGATCCATTAATGTATCAGTATCAAACAACCTAAAGCGAGTTGCTAGAAGTCCCCAGAATCATAAAGCATTCTTGTAACTTTTTTTTTTGGGGGGGGGAGACTATGCGATGTGTGCAATGAAAATTTCTTAAGAACTGAACTAAGAACCTGCAAGAAATAATCTGATAAGCCTAAAAAACAGGAAGGAAGGAAAACGGAAATCTCTTTCCCTGCCCCCCAGAGGAAAGACCGCTGCCCAGGCGTTCAGTCCTCGTACCAGAACTCGCCAGATCTCATACCCCCCCTGCTAGGGTGACAGGGCAACACCAACTGCCCAGTACCGACCGAACTGGTTCTGACAGACAGGAAGTGTCTTCCTCCCTCAACAACTTCCTTAGCTGCAACGCCCCTGGAGGTTGCAGGGTCACTGCCCCGGCATCAGCTACGTTGAAAACGATGGTTATGCCTTCCACTCGGCGTAGCTCCAGTAGCCTCAAGCTCCCCCTGGTTACAGAGCAACCGCTCCAGCACCGGCCATTGTCGCCCCACCCCGCCCTTCTAGTTAGACCTACCACCCTGTACAACAATCCCTCCTCTGCCCGAGCACCACCACACTACCCAACAATCCCTAGGACCAACCTTCCCCTTCCTGCTCACCGAATCACTGCAATCAATCAGATGGGAAACAAACAACAAGTATCTGCCTTTACTCCCATTCCTTCTTCCGGCACGACTTATGGAATGACTATTCTACTTTGGTTCACCTTCTTTTTTTAAGCTAAGGGGCTCGTTAGACACTCCTTGGGCACGTAAAATCTACAAGGACGTGATCATTCTACCTATCCTCGGGGAAGAAATTGGAATAAAAAAGTGAAAACATTTCCTCGAGGAATCTTTGTAGTGTCCTTGTGGCCCAGCCATTTCGTGCCCTAGTGCAAGGGACCTCGCGAAGTCCCTCAGAGCTCAAGGATCCGCGATAATCAGAGCGGCGAAGGCACGCGTCGTCGGCAAATTTCTTTTTTCGGCTGGTCCATTGGTGTTCTGCCAGCGGCTGCACGGACATCTTCAGGCCTCAACGTTGGGATTTCAGGCAACGGGTCGCCAACAGTTATTGTTTGTGGACGGCCATCGTCGGCGTCCGTCTTCAATTGGGGCTGTCGTCGCGGTGCGTCCTGCCAACTTCGTAGGGGTTCAACAGTCGGGAAAATTGGATATTTTTCCCGATCCCCCTCCCTAATCCCCACTCATGTCGGCCAGGTGCCTGCAACCGCGGTCTGGTCAGGTCACCCTGCCAAGATGGTGATGGGTGATGGTCCGGGTGGTTAACACTAGGGGGGTAGGGACAGGCGGGGTGAGGGTGCGCCAGGGCAAAAAAAAGATGAGAGGAAGGGTGGGTGGGGTCTTCAGAGGGGTTCATCTGTCTGGACAACCAAGTGGCCAAGTACTGCGGGTGACTGCCATCTGTCTAGTATCCCACCTCTACAACAACCTGGGCTTAATAAAAAATAAATAAAATAAAATAAAAAACATATGATAATAATAAAGGCTAATTTGCTTACCCTTTGTTCGTTTGCTTATTGCTGTCTCTTTTCTGTTTCTTTTTGGTTTCTTTACTCTTTCCCAGGTTCTGTGATGACAGGCATAGTTCCTCCAACGTCATCTGATCATCAGGAGGAGTTTTTACGACAAATGGTATGAAATACAAAATCGAAAAATCCAACTCACTGTAGGCTACTTGGCTCACCTGGCCGGGCCATGCTCCCGGGGCAAGTCGCGTGGGGGTCACCTGCACGGGGCACCCCGTGCAGGCAAAAATCGGCCCTTTTTCTTTCTTTTTTCTTTTTTTTTTTGCTGGGGGTTTTCTGACACGTGCCCACAGGAGTTCGAATCTGGGCTCCGTTCTCTTGTTGAAGTGTTGGCTGTCAAGGGGGGGGGAAGGGGGCAATAAATTGGTTTTCAAGGGGCTAAAGGAGTCTAAAGGGGACTGCCTTAGTCTTTTTTTCTTTTTCTTTTTCTTTTTCTTTTACAGTCAAATCTGGGCTCCTTTTCTTTTCTCATGTTGGCTGTCGAAGAGGGGGGGAGGGAGGCATAAATTGGTTTTCAAGCGGCTAAAGGGGTGGAAAGGGGGGTGCCTTAGTCTGATTCTGTTGTTTTCTTTTTCGTCTTTGTTTTCTTTTCTTTTTTTTTTTTTTTTCCGAGGAAAACAACCCGAGCAACTGCTAGAGGTGCTGACAAGAGCAGACACCGCTAGCATGCTCGGGGAGGCTCCATCTATTGGTGGGGAGCGACACCTGCTGGAAAACGGGTCCAGCATCCCTTGACATGTAAACAAGCATGGCAGGTGACTGATGAGCAGCATTGATTGCCCTCAACTGAGGGGATTGACTGCCCATCACATCTCAAAATTATATCCGATATCATCCCCATACTCTGAGTTCCTCATCGTCCATCCTATGCATCCCTATCGTACCATGAGGAGGAGAGGCAATCAGCAGCAGGGGGAGCAGGAACATGAACTCATATTAACCTACCACCCTCGTATTGCTAAACTGAACGGTCAACTAAACCAACAGTCACGCACACACAAAAACACGTTCAGAAATTCAATCAAAATCATATCCGCACCCTGATAACAAACCCTTGCAACGTTGTGAGAAGGAGGGGTATTCAGAACAGGAAACCAGGGAATTCAGAAAGTCAGTCATAGCGAAAGCCGGACAAAAGAGGGTCACAATACACAGGGTCACAGTCATGCGGGCGGGGTTCCGCACATGCCAATCAAGGCGCCCTCCTCCAGATAGCACGGGAGGGCAAATGAAGGGCCTCCCCACGGCCTCTATACTACCGTACCACCCCCCCACCCGGATCCCATATCGCCATGCCCCGTACGATCCCCTCCCCAGAAGGCTCCCTCCTCCAGATATGAGCAGACTCGCGGGAGGAGCCCGCTGCACCCGGATCCGGCTGATGTGATTGTCGTCCTCATCATCAACAAACTCGGCCTCGTGAAAGTCGTCGGTGCTTCTGTTGTTGTTGTTGGTGGTGGTGGTGTCGTCGTCGTTGTTGTTGTTGTTATTGTCGTCGTCGCTGATGTTCTCGTCATCCTCGTCGTTGGTGTTGTTGTTGTTGTTGTTATTGTCGTCGTTGCTGTTGTTCTCGTTATCGTCGTCGTCGGTAATGTTCTCGTCATTGTTGCCCCCGCTGGTAAAAGCCTCGATACGAACGTCGTCGCCGTCTTCAAGGGAATCGATGTCGCTGTTGCAATCTCCCGAATCATTGTTGTCGTCGTCATTGTTATTCTTTTCGTTACTGTTATCGTTGTTGTTGTTGTTATTGTGAACGGCGGCGATATGGGTGAGATCGTCGTTGTCATGGCAGCGTTCCTCCATCACATCGCAAAGAACTTGCCCCTCCTCAAGCTCGTCATAGTAGCGCCTCATCAAATCAACCAATCGCAGGCAGCTTGTTGTCGCGTCCAAGTGGGGGGCCAGCCCCTCCTCCAACCCCCAAGTGACCTCCATCAAGCACTCCCTCATGCTTTGGATCCATGAGATCGGCGGTACCGTCTTCTCAAGAGCAGCCGATCGCAGCTTCGCCACCACCTGACGTACACACGCACCGCTCGCTTGAACGGTAGCAAGCCACACATCAGCTCCTATTTCCTCCGGACACGCCATCGCCAAACTCCACCCGGCTCTCACCCCTTCGTATGTTCCAACCCACGTCACGCACCTCTCCACACCCCTAGTAGCACCCCTCCTTACTGACCTCGAATCCGTGAGGAATTCTGATGTGGCCCTCAGCCAAAAGTCCTCTTTTTTTTAAAAAAGGGGTAACTAGGGCGCAGTCACGAAAGCAGTTTGTAAATGCATTTCGAACTGCCTTTTTGCAGTCCAGTACCTTCCCAAGTTTCAACTGCAGTCGAAACACTTCACACGCACAAAAGTCCGCCACGTGGCCTCCTCTTTTTTTTTTTTTTT